ATATAGATATATATATACATATATAGACATATACATATACATATATGTCTCTTATTCACAGTGTAACTCCTACCCAACTTGAATATCTTCCACCAAAGACATTGTTTACTTGCATTCCCTGTTCAATTCCTGTCCAGAAAAACATTCATCTCAGAAACTACAAACATTCACTATTTAAATTCCTCAGCAATAGGATGCATTGGTACACTGCTTGTTGTAATCTTACTTTTGTACCAGGATACTTGTGTTGGACCTGTGTCCCTCATATTCACCCACCTTTTAAGCTCTTCAGTACCAGACCCTGTTCTTCTGTGTGATGAACTCTCTCTATACCAGTCAAGGCAGCTGCTCCGTCCCTTCCTGACCGGGGTCCGTCCCAGAGTTCCCTCCCTGGATCTCTGCGAGGGACGAACAGGATAGCCTGATCTGGTCGACCATTCCCATGAAGAACCAAGGCACTGTCAGGTTCTAAGAAGCCGGTAAGATAGAGGAAATCCTGGGGAGCAGTCAGCTGCAGGTTAATCAACAGGGAAAATATATTTTCTAAGGATGAAGACAGCTTAGATGTACCTGGTTCTGGTGGAAGGGGTAAGGGATGTCGTTGGTCATGTAGCGGGTTGGATGGGATAGGATGATGACCACGTGGTTGCTGGAGGAGGTAGAAGGTCCCAGCTTGTCTGCCTGGGCCTCAATGAGTGAGGCCAGCTTCTGCCTGCGGAGCTCGTATTCTGTCTGGGCTATTCCAGGGGTCACCTCCCCTGAGGAGCAGAGGAAGCACGGGTTCTGAGTCCTCAGAGGAACAGCACTGATTGTTGACGTTCACACAGTTTGCAATAAGCCGTAAAGAGTGCCTACCATGTTTGATGAGGTGAGGATGAGTGTAAGAACTGGGCTGGCCGAGGTACCGACATGGAACCAGCTTTGGTTTCAAACTTCCTGGGTTCACAGAAATACGTCTGCATGGGCACCAGATGAATCCTACACACAAGCACATATTTTTAAGTTTAGTCATTTACAAACACTGACAGGTTTTTGGTTTTTTTTAGAGAAAGACTCACAATTATTAGATATTGTTAAAAAAAGTGCATTTCGACTAACACAGACTGTAAACCTGAAGTTTAGAACAGATGAGACAAATAAAATCGAATGAAGTTTGTTTTTCTTTCCTGGAAGATCCTGACGGGTGTGCTGGAGCTGCTAATGAGGTATATATATATAAAAAAAAACAACCTACAAAGCTGTTAAACCAGAAAGAGCTCTTTAGCAAATTTGCAGGGTGAAATTTCTCCTGGATTTCTGTTTAGCTCCTGTTGCCTGCAGCTGAAACGCTAAAGAAAACACCTGTGGGATCAGGTGCTCTCAACCTATAAAGACAATCCTTCATGATTTTGTTCTCTGATCAATGCACTGACCGAATACTCTGATATAACGTTGAATTCAAAATCTCAAGAGGGTGTCAGCTGGATTAACTCATTTGAAAATAAAAGTTCAAATCCTTTTCAGAGGGTCCTGATCCCAAGAACCTGCAGTGATTGTGTGATATGAACCAGATCGCACACGGCAAGTAAGCCATTTAACATTTTATATTCTGTTTTGCTTTAAAGCTGAGCTGGACTTTCTGTCAACATTCACTGAAGTCCCACCACAAATGGTCTCATGGTCAAAAAGTTACTCTTATGGATGTAAAATATGGAGAAACTACATATGAAGATAGAAACCTGTGCGCTTGTAACTCTGATTTGTGCACCTGTAGAAAAAAATGTTTACTTGAATTGAATGATTTCATAAAAAAAAATAAAAAGGTTTTACATGAATATTTTTAACTCGTTGTTACAGAAAAAAATTGTTGCAAATATGTAATATTACATTTACGCGAATATGATAAGAGTTTCAGACTCGTAATCTATTTTTAACTTGTGTGCAGTTTGTTTAACTTGTATCTATGTTTTCAGTACAACTTGAGCTCAAAGTTAAAACTTCTCAAATCTGCCATTAGGAGAGCAGAAAATGTGAAAGCAGGTCGGTGGGAGGGAGAGCGTTGCTAGGGCAACGGGAGGGCGGTTTTGTGTTAACCAATCAGAATGAGAGCTCTGCGTGCAGTGGTGGGCTGTAACCAAGTACAAGTACTTTGTTACTGTACTTAAGTACATTTTTCATGTATCTGTACTTTACTTAAGTAGAGTTAAACGTGGGTACTTTCTACTTTTACTCCACTACATTTAATATTAAGTATCTTTACTTTCTACTACACTACATTTCTATAATGCGTTGAGTTACAAGTTACATTCACGTTGTGCTTTGTTATTTGTTTGAAAGTAACTAATGTTGAGAGGGGAGTTAGTCCTTTGAATCACTGCAAAGTGGACAGGTAACGTTAGACCTGCCTTCAAGAAGAGCTGGATCAATGACGTGTACTCTAGTATTTACGTCATTGAGCTGGGAGCACCCGCAGCACCACTAACACACCCAAAATGGATTCCACCGTGGAGAGTCAGCCAGAAGATATGCTCCACACATGGACTTATTGAAAGTCTATTGAAAGATTATTCCGTACAGAAGGACAGATTCTCTCCCAAAAAGAGCCAGACTGGACTCAAAAAACTTAGAAAACCAACTTCTTCTGAACTTGAACAAGAAATTCTTGCTGCAACATTAAAATGTGTCAGTTCATGATGTTAGGAGACAAGAGATGTCTCCAAATGTCTCGACACTCAGGTCCAAGTTTTGAAAATGGTGTCAGGAAGTTAAAATATTTTTCACTATTGACCCATTACAAGGCCGACTAAACAGTATTTTAACTAGAGTTGATGACAAACTGGAGTTGAAATGATCAGAGTCTATTCCATTGTTAGGTCTAAGCTCCTTTTTTCTGTCAGACAACTTTTACTTAAATGTGTTTACAGCAGTTAAAATGACACATTGGTTTTGATTTGTGTTAAATAAAAACTTTCAAAGGTATACAACATTTTTCAGTCAGGTCATCTGGACAGTTTCTTTTTGTTTTGTGCTGAAACGTTTCGCCTTCGATCCGGAAGGCTTCATCAGTCAATGAAACACACAACACAACTGATTCTTCCACCAACATCTTACTCCAAAGTGGAACAAACCAGTACTGCTTGTGATAAGATGGTCTCTTTGGTACGCCCCCTCCTCCATTGCCGGCCCTCTTCCTTGTTGACAGTCGTGTCAAACTGGTTGAAAACAACAAAGTCCATGCTCAATAATCCATCTTATCACAAGCAGAACTGGTTTGTTCCACTTTGGAGTAAGCTGTTGGGGGAAGAATCAGTTTTGTTGTGTTTCCTTGACTGATGAAGCCTTCCGGATCGAAGGTGAAACGTTTCAGCACAAAAAAAAAGAATCTGTCCAGATGACCTGACTGAAAAATGTTGGATCGTATACCTGGATTATTGAGCATGGACTTTGTTGTTTTCAAAGGTATAATCATTCCTCTTTCTTATTTTGCTTAATGATATTTAACTCTGCATGTCATTCCTGAATTTTGATGCACAGAATCACAAGTCCAACGGTGTCACAGAGTAAACACAATAAAAACATGAATTATCTGCAGCATTGTTCATTAAAATGGCTCAACACTATTAATGTAGTACACAAAATATACATACGGTAGGTACACTTAATGATATTGTAGACTATTGCATTAGATGATACATTCAGCAAGTACTTTAACTTTAATACTTTAAGTATTTTTAAAAGCAAGTACTTATTTACTTTCACTTAAGTAAAAACGTTAATGTGGTACTTCTACTTTTACTAGAGTACATTTTTGTCTGTTTATTTGTACTTTTACTTAAGTACAGTGTTTGAGTACTTCTTCCACTGCTGTCTGGGTGTCATGTGATTACGGTCAGTCGGACTCTACCTCCATCTCAGCTATGCAGTCACTGACACTGTGGCACACTAAGCTGGGGTAGTTTAAATTAAGAAAAAAGCCCCTGCCCAAAACATAAAAATAAAAATAATAGTAATAATAAATAAAAACAAAACTTTGTAACTGTGTGCACTGCTGGTTACTCGTCTACAATCAAGATGCTATTTTTCCAGTATGGTCTAATGGGAACTATATTCAAGGATTTTTTTTGTGTGTGTCATACCAGCTCACATTTTCATGTTTATGGTACGAAATTCGGACTCGGGTCTCAGATCTCAGATCAAGAAGCCTAACAATAAATACAAAAGAGTATAAATATATTTATAAAGTTAAAAAATGTAAGATGAAGCTGAATTAAGTGCAGCTCGAGTTCAGCAGTCTGACAGTTGCACAGTTCTGAGCCTGGTGGTCTTGCTCTGAATGCTCCTCAGCCGCCTGCTTGACAGGAGGGACTGGAACAGACTGTGTGCAGGATGAGTGGAGTCCTTCATGATGCGGAGCCTCCTGCATTGTGAAGTGTAGAGGTCCGAGGTGGTGGGAAGTCTGCTCCCCACACTCAATACAGTTTATATATTGATATTGCCGTGCTTTTGCCTTCTGGTGCAATGGAGGTGTGTTGGTACAGGAAGGTACACGACAAAGAAAAGGATCTCTTTCATGAACTTTACTTCTTCTAGTAACAGGTAAGTTACAATGGCAGCTGAGTTGTTCTGACTGAAACACTGTGCCATTTAAGTCTTGAGTTCTGGCACAGAGCGTTTTGCAGTGTCCATGCAGAAATCCACGAGAACCGAAATAACTCAACAGAACATGGAACATACAAGTCTCGCGATGCTATGTTGTCTAGATGGCTGTGTTGCATTTACTGACCTAAAATAGGCTCGGAAAACTAAAACAAAATACAAAACCAAGCTTAAAGGCTGATAAGCTTAACGTGCCTTACATTATAAAAATGCAAAGCGTTTTGGAGAACAAGTCCTGATGTAAGCTCAATCATTCAGGTAAATGAATAATAATTAAAAAAAAAAGTTAAATCAAGTCATCTGGACTGATTAACACAAACACCTGGTGTGAACAGGAGCCATTTGAACAGCCCCTTAATGTAGGAGCATCTTGAAGGCACGCAAAATATTAGAATAACCCCAAAAAGAGATTTATAAACTCCTTCAAGAATCCTGTAGAAGTTATTTCTGGAGTATACTAGTTAAACTTCACAAGAAAACTGGCCTGAGATAGTTTATGTATCCCCTCAGGGATGTGTGCTGAGCCCTCTCCTGTTCACTCTGCTCACGTATGATTGTGCCCACTCATCCAGGCTGTAATATTGTAAAGTTTGCAGATGAAACAGTGGTAGTGGGATGCATCACAAACAATGGTGAGTCCAGCTACAGGCAGGAGGTGAACACCTGCAGAGCTGGTGCAAAGAGAATAACCTTCACATCAATGTGAAGAAGACAAAGGAGATGATTGTGGACTTCAAAAGGAACAAACACACCTACACCCCCCTGAACATAAGAGGATCTGCGTTGGAAGTGGTCTCCAGCTACAAGTACTTGGGTGTACACATGAATGACAACCTCAGCTGGAGCAACAACACCACCAGCCTGATCAAGAAAGCTCATCAGAGACTCTACTTCCTCAGACGGCTGAGACGAGCTGGTCTGGGAAGTTCAGTCCTCACCTCCTTCTACAGGTGTGCAGTGGAGAGCATCATGTGCTCCAGCATCAACGTGTGGCATGGAGGCTGCACAGCTGCAGAAAGAAAAGCTTTGCAGAGAGTAGTGAAGGCTGCACAGAAGTATGTTGGAGTCAGTCTCCCCACCATCAGACATCTACACCTCCAGATGCAGGAAGAGGGCCACCTGCATCATGAAGGACCCCACTCACCCAGCACACACACTTTTTGCCCCGCTCCCCTCAGGAAGGAGGTTGAGCGTGAACCACATGAGATACGAATGACAAATAAATCTGACTTATGTTGTGATGAATTTATGTGAATTTGTTTAGTTTTGTGTGATGAATGCAAATGTTCACACCAAATAGACTTTCAAGTTTGTTGGGTTTATGTTTTCGTCCTACTGTAGGAAGAAAAAAAAGTTTTATAGTGTCATCTCCCACCTCCAGCCCTGGTCCGCCGCGGCAGCAGTCTGACAGCAGACCTCACGGAGCTGCAGACCGGGGACATGTTGGAGGACACCGATCAGTCACTGCATGTCGACCCTCTGAGGACACAAAGAGTCGCCCACAGACAAGTTATGAGTCCTGACAGCTGCTCAAAAACCTGTTACATGAGGTTAAAACCCATTAACTTTAAGGTTTTCTCAAGTTTTAATTGTACACTTCCAGTTGAGAGTTACCTTTGATAGCTTACCGCTCTCTGTTAGCCATTAGTAAAGTGCTGCCCTGAGTTTGGTTTGTCAGGCAGATACATTTAACTCCGCCCCCTTCTGCCATCTGCTGAACAGAGCTGCTCTTATTTATCTCTTTAAAAACCTAGCATTCCTCAAAGACATGTATATTGCTCGCCTCTTGCCAGATTTTTTTTACTGATAAGAAATGACAAAAGTTCGAGTGGAGTAAATCTTTAAAATTGTTACACAAAATATTGCAGAATCTGTTTGCACTGGAGCGTGTGATGGGACTCTTAGCAACATTAGCTCAAAATCTGTAAAACAGAGTTGCTGATGTAAAAATTTTGTTAATGAGATATTATGCTAACAGACTGGTTGATGCAAAGTTTTAAACCCTGTTCTGGAACAATCAATTAGTGCTTGGATTATGTGTTGAAAATGACTCTCAGCTACTACCAAACACAATTTTAGCTCAACATCTGTAAAATTCACTAGGTTAGCCATGGACATATTTGTGTTTGCTAAGTTTGATTAGCTGTGACAGCCATATTTAATCAGGTTCCCCTTAAAAGTTAATTAGGAGTTGCAAAACAGACAAACAAAAACATGTTCCTTCACCTTTCATGCAGGTCGTTAAAAAAATAAAATAAATGCTCCTTTTTAGAGTCGTCCAAATGGTGGAGGTGTCAAATTAGGTTGGACACGTGTTTCTGAGCGACAAGGAGAAGGCTCGGCAGTACTTCAGGGTGTGCACTGATGCAGCCTCTGCATCATGAATTAATGATGAGGAGGAGCCGAGCCATGAGGTAAATCATTGGACTTGCCCTTCTCTTCCTCTGGTTGCTACAGATATCCTGAACTGAGGTTTTCCTTAAGATTACTGGATCACAGGACACCTTTACAAGGTCTCATAAAAAAAACCAATTTAAATAAATTAAAAAATAGAAAGTTCTGCTTTCATAAAGACATCTTCTGATGTTAGTACTGTCTGGTGGCGTGCAATATGCATTCCTCCATGAAATGTTAGCTTTCTAATTGTAGAAGCAGGGATGACTTTCTCCTGCTCCTTTACCCAGCATGCATCATGTTACTGTGTGCATGTGCTGTTTCCTTCACCCATTCATCTTTAATAGATCTGCATTCATCACTAAATATCATTTTCATCCAGTCATCCACTTCTCTTGTGTCCACTGTAGCTTTGTTTTTATCTCTTTATTTGTTAAAGGGATAATTCAGATCTTTTTAAGTGCCGTTCTTATCTTATCTGTTGCAGATGAGCTCAAAAGAGGCCAAGACTAAAGGAACAAGACTAAAACTTGACACAGTAATGTTGGGGTGGTTCATATTAATTCTAGGGGCACTTCCAGCTGGAATATCATATTTTTTGCATTAATAACCGTGTCAAGTGGAATAACTGATGCTGTCAACCATGTTGTATTTCAGTAAAATATCTCAAGAATTAATGGATAGATTGTAATGAAACTTTCAAACAGAAATAATTAGATGCACTTCTACAGCCGACTAAGTTTTGGAGTCGACCCATTCAAGATGGCAGCTACAGCTTATGAAAATTATCCAGAATAAAAGTGACTATACCTGAACTTATAAATAATTAGGTAAAGTTTGAGCTGAGAGTCATCCTCAACATGTATAATGAGCACTAACACATACCAAATGACTGCTTTTCTTAAGGTTTTTAATGACATCGCTGAAGCATTGGATGCTAAAGATTATTGTGCTGCACTTTTCTTAGACCTGTCTAAAGCTTTTGACACTGTGGATCATAACATCTTGTGTCATAAGCTCTCAAAAAAAATTTTCTCAGATCACACCAGTGGTTGGTTCTCTAACTATCTCTCAGATCGGAGGCAATGTGTTCAACATAATGGTGTGGTCCTCCAGTTATTTAACAGTCAGCAATGGTGTACCACAAGGCTCAGTCTTAGGACCCACCCTCTTTACAATCTACATAGTTAATGTAGGTCAGAGCATCCTTGATGCATCCATACATTTCTATGCTGATGACACAGTTGTTTATTGTTGAGTTAAAACAGTTGCTAAGGCTTTCCATCTTTTGCAATCTGCCTTTGACATCATCCAGTCAGATTTGTTCCATCTCAAACTTGTCTAAAATGCTGATAAAACCAAAGGGATGCTTTTTTCAAACAGGAAGTCGGTCCCAGCAGTTCTTCCTCTATTTTTATCCTCAAATGGTGTCCCTATTGAGTTTTTTGATTCCTATAAATATTTGGTTACCTTGGTCGACTTGCATCTCTCTTTTAAGCTTCATGTGGAAAACTTGATAAAGAAACTGAAAGTTAAACTGGGTTTCTTTTTCAGAAACAGATTCTGTCTAACTCTGAATGCTAGGAAACACATTGTAACTGTGACTTTCCTTTCCTCCATTGACTATGGTGACATTATTTAAATGAACGCTCCTACAAGAACCCTGCAGATGTTGGATGCTGTCTATCATGGTGCACTAAGTTTCATAACTGGCTGTGATTATCGTACCCACCACTGCTCCCTGTATTCACTGGTTAACTGGACATCATTAACTTCACGCAGACTCTCTCACTGGTACATTTTCATCTTTAAATCACTTCTTGGTCTGCTGCCTTCATACATCTCCTCCTACATGTCTCTGTGTGAGTGCAGCTACAGCGTGCGCTCTCAGGACATTATTATATGCAGTGTTCTCTAGGCAAAAGGGCCTTCTCCTACTCCGCTCGTTTATATCGGAATATCTTACTAAAAGATCAGACGCTCTCGACCTTGACCTCTCTAAGTTGCTTTAAACATCTGTTAAGTTCCTGGCAAAAACCAGTGCAGACATGTTCCTGTTTTTACTTTTCTACACCTTATAATCTAGCTGATTTTTTTTTTTCTCGCTACTTTTCCTTTTGACTGTCCTTTTGGTTGCTATTTTGTTTTGATTTGTTAAAAAAATAAATAAAAAAAATTTAAATTTGCATGCATCGTTTGTGAATGTTGTTATCCACTGCTGTCATCACTCTTTGTTAAAGAAATCAGATCTCTCTTAAATGAATCCCCGAGGCACAATGGGATTAACCTGTATAAATAAATAGAGGATTATTTTTTTTTTTTTTTTTTTACCCTTTATTTATACAGGTAGTCTCATTTTTTGAATGAATGAGAGAGAGAAAAAAAAGATTGCATAATGTCCTTTTCAAGGTTTGACCAAAACAGATTTACCTCCAACATTTATCAGGATAAGAAGATGTTCTTAGTTTAAAACTCTGGCATCAAAGTCAGCGGTCAATACGCATTCCTTCAAGAAATGTTAATTTCCAATCCGGACACCGTAGTTTGCCTGACGAGGGTGTACCTGTCAGTCCAAAACGAGGGCACTAATTTACCCAGATCTTTAGGGCTGTCCGATATTTTGCCTGAATGAAACACTTCGCTTCCTACATAGAAGCGGCGGCGTTGGTGTGGAAATAAATTCGACTCCAACCTTTCTCCGCGGTGTTCCTCCTCTACATTGTGCTTTTTTAAAAAAAAAAATCAGGTGAGTTTGCTTTTATTTTGCATAAAAACACGCAAACGCCGTATTTTATTTACGGCTCGTGTTTACGCGGTTTCCGTGTTATCATGCGTCAAACCGTCGCGTCACGCATTGATTCACATTTCCAGAAACTTCTGGCTTTCGAACGCCAAAAATAGTCGTTTTGCTACGTTAACCTGGGCGTTTTGGTGTCAGAAGGGTGAAGTTTGTGTATCTTTGACTGAATAAGGTGAGTGGGGCTCGCTCGTTCGCCTCGCGGAGCTGTAACCGCAGGGAGGGTATTAACGTTAGCAGCTAAGCTCACCACCAAACAAAGCCCGACTTGATGAAGTTGTTGCTTGTTTTTCACACTCGTTTCCACCCGCCTGCAGAGCTCCGTGTGCTGGACGGTGACACACCACCATGGACCCTCGAAAAGTGTCCGAACTCAAGGGCTTCGTGCAGCTGTGCGAGTCCAACTCGGGGATCCTGCATCTTCCAGAGATGAGCTTCTTCCGGTCGTGGTTGCAGAGGTCAGTCTGTTTGATCACTGCTTCCTGCAGCTGGGGTGGATTATTAACTAAATATGTTCTTATTCGTCTTGTATTTTACCACATTTAAATCCAACACATTGTACACCTACCACGTGCTCTGACCCGCCCACCTTCCAGTAAAAACCATTCATTCAGAACCTTACATGTGTCAAAGTCAAGGCCCGCGAGCTAAATCAGGCCCTTGTTAGCATCTTATCTGGCCCCACAAGATATTTTAAATGTAAAATACTTCAACTTTTCTCATTTTACTTAAAAAGCTGATGGATGCTTAATTTGGTGCATACTTCTCATGACAGCTGGCTAATTTTGAAACCAAAAACCGGTTTAATTTTCCAGTAATCTTATTTTTCTGATGTGAAAAGAGCAACGGAGAACGTAAAAAGAGACCAATCAAACTGTTTTTGAGGGACCTGCAACCAAGAAAAGATGCCTGGTGTCAACTGAAGCTGGCCTGTAATTTTGGCCTATTTTGTAACAGAGTTTCACACTTTTCCTGCAGGTTAGGTTTAAAGTGAAGGTATGGGTTCATACTAGTAATGGGGAGGAATGGGCAGCATGGTGGCGCAGTTGGTAGAGCTGCCGCCTTTGAGCGAGCTGGTCACCTCGGTTCAAGTCTAATCTGGGGGGCCTTTCTGGGTGGAGTTTGCATGTTTTCTCCGTGCATGTGGGTACGGGTACTCCAGTTTCCTCCCACAGACCAAAAACATGCACGTTAGACTGATTGGTAACTCTAAATTGTCCCTAGGTGTCAGTGAGAGAGTGAATGGTTGTTTGTCTCATTTGTCTCTTCGTGGCCCTGTGATGGACTGAAGATCTGTCCAGGGTGTCCCCCACCTCTTGCACAGTGATGGCTGGACATGGGCACCAGTGACCCCCACGACCTGAAAAGGAAGAAGTGGGTAAAGATAATGGATGGTGAGGGTAAATGGACAGTCATATTCTTTCAAGAGGTTGTCCACGAAAATTGTTGGTTGTCCACAACCTTTACAGTACAGAAGGTAAAAATGTCAAGAAAAATGTATTTTATTAAGTATACTGCACTATATGCAAAGTTTATACAGATGTTCTCAGTCGGCCATCTTGTGGCCTGCTTGGAATTTCCAAACTACTGCGTGGCTGAGTCTTCTGAGCTGCTGCAGTAGAACTTCCTTGTTCTCCTCCTCATCAGACTTTGCAAGAGAGGCACTCGCAGCGTATATAAGGCCGAGATTAAAGCAGAATTTATTTTTAATCGTTTGACTCAAAAATTTTATGTCCCTAGAGGTTTCCCAAGCACCTCCACCCCCAATACTACACACTGGAGAGCTTTTCCTGCATACAGGCCATTTCTCAAATGTTTTCACATAGAGAAGCCCCTCCCCCAGGCCTGGCTCCAGGGTGGGGCCCGGTAACCCATGTCCAGGCAAGGGACACTGAGCTCCTTGATGTCTGTCCATAATAGTCTTTGGAATTTTATGCTTCCTAAAATATATAACTTTTGACGTTTTTTACAAAGCGGTTAAATAATTTAGTGCTTTCATGTTGATTTTTACCTATAAAATATCATAATTACTTTATAATGGTGATGGACAGTTCAGATTCTGTGTTTAAAAATGGTAAATCAGAGAAAAGATCGATGTTACTGAACAGTTTACACCTGGGTTCTTTGTAGATGACATGGTTCGCTTGAATAAAAACTAAAAACATGACTTCTCTCCTCATTTTTCATTTATGGTCATTTGATCTGTACAAAAGCTCAGTACCTGTAAGTGCTTTTCTTCGTACCAGAGTCTTTAAATGCACTGTGTGTTTTTGTTTCCATTTAAAACTGTGCTGTTCCTTCATTTAATTGTTTCAACTGTTGTTCTGCTTTTCATGCTGCTGATTTGTTAATTGTACCTCTGTTCAAGACGGAAATAAGTGTTGATGAGAATGCTGCATCCTTAGAAACGGCAGGAAAAACCTGTAAACTTATTTAATTTGTGTTCAGCAAAGTAAAATATTTCAAACCCATGTATTTTGCTTCTAAACTGTTCTCTTTAATTTTCTCTTGCAGTATGGGTGCAACAATTCCCCCTGAAGAAAAGAAAAAGGATTCGTGTCAGGTGATTAGGACTCAATATTTTAAAATGGTGAAAATAATCCAGGTGTTTAACAGAGTGTGTTCTGACCATCAGGGCGGGTGTCCCTGTGGTCCTCCTCCTTCAGCAGCTTCGCCTCCTGAACCCGAGCCTGCTGTGGCGTCTGAGAGCGAGGAGAGTGAAATAGGTACTGTGTATCCATGGCAACCGTTAACGCCACAGTTCTTTAGTTCTAATTTTACTCTCGGGTTTTTAATGTGTTTCAGGTTTATGGTAGATCGAATGAAATATCAAACTGTTTTATTTACTGAATTCAAATTAAAAAATTTCAAGATGGCCACCAAATCAACGCATTATACAAACCGTATTCCAAAAAAGTTGGGTCACTAAACAAATTGTGAATAAAAACTGAATGCAATGATGTGGAGATGGCAAATGTCAATATTTTATTCGTAATATAACATAGATGACAGATCAAAAGTTTAATCTGAGTAAATGTAACATTTTAAAGGAAAATATGTTGATTCAAAATTTCACAGTGTCAACAAATCCCAAAAAAGTTAGGACAAGTAGCAATAAGTGGCTGGAAAAAGGAAATTGAGCATATAACGAACAGCTGAAAGACCAATTAACACTAATTAGGTCAATTGACAACATGATTGGTATAAAAAGAGCTTCTCAGAGTGTCAGTGTCTCTCAGAAGCCAAGATGGTAAGAGGATCACCAATTCCACCATTGTTGCGCAGAAAGATAGTGCAGCAATACCAGAATGGTGTTACCCAGCGTAAAATAGCAAAGACTTTTAAGTTATCATCATCAACCGTGCATAACATCATCAAAAGATTCAGAGAATCTGGAACAATCGCTGTGCGTAAGGGTCAAGGCCGTAAAACTCTACTGGATGCTCGTGATCTCCGGGCCCTTAAACGTCACTGCACCTCAAACAGGAATGCCACTGTCAAGGAAATAACAGAATGGGCTCAGGAATACTTCCAGAAAGCATTGTCAGTGAACACAATCCACCGTGCCATCCGCCGTTGCCAGCTGAAACTCTACAGTGCAAAGAGGAAGCCATTTCTAAGCAAGCTCCACAAGCTCAGAC